GGGTTCTCTGGCTCCTTCCTTCAGCAATCTCCTTGGTGCTTTGAAACCACTTGCCCGCTTACCTATGAAGCTCCACTAAAAAAGTGCCTCTTACATAGGACAGGTATAAAACTTACCTGGCAGGGGAAACACCATGACCATAAAGGTGGTTTTCCTAGTTGCAGGGGAAAACCACTTTCTTAGCAGGTACTGTATACCAAGCCACCCACTTTCACTTCCAGTGGAAAGATCTCGGCTATACACCCACTTATGGAAATGGGAGACTCCTCCCTAGCTTGCTCCTGAAGCCGTATGGTTGAGGGCAAGTGAAACTCGGGGGCGTTCGGGCTTCAGCCTGCATGTAGGATGCTCCCCAAAGGATTTGGAAGCATCTGAAGCCCCGGGAGGGGTGGGGGATGTTTGCTGGTAGGAGGGCCACAGTATGGTTCATGAATGACTCTCAGATTTGGAATCAATTGGGCTGACTTGGCTTGGAACACAAATATTTTTCCTTAAAAAAATAATCAAAAAAATCAAGTGCAGAGTAGATGATAGCTGTGAGCAGTGGAGATATTACAACACCCATTCCAGAATCCACGTAAAGTCCTTTGTTTTTCTAACTGTAATAACCATTTTAAATAAACAGGAGAATTAGTGGAGAGAACGTGGTAGACAGAGTCTGGAGATACAAGGCAGTACTTAATCACCTACAAATATGACAGTAATAGTACCTGTGGGCATCCAAAGTTATAAGGATTCTTAAATACCTTCTGAACTGGAGCCTATGTGAATAAATATGTTGTAAAAACAAATAAGAAAATGACAAGTTTAGTACTTGTCTTTCTGACCACTCTTTTATACCAACTAGACAAACTGGAAAATACAGTGGTCTGTTCTTTTCTCCAAATAACTTTTCAGCTTACAGAGCCCAATGGTATCAGGAAATTATCAGTATAATAACATGATGATCTTCATAGTGGGCCACAGTAGAAAAACCCTTCTGCATTAGGAACACATTCACAAAAAATACCTCTACCTCTAAAAACAAGCTCCAAAAGAAATATCATATAAGTAAAAGAATAAGATTAGCCAAAATAAATGTTGAATGTTGCTCAACATAAATATTATAAAGGGAAGTCAAAGCATAAACTCAGTCACATTTATTACTTCTGGCTAAAACAAAACTATTTAGCGTAAGTGAGAAATAGAGTTCTGTGGAAAAAACATTCCCAACAACTGTCACATAAGAGTAGGCTTGCTATATAATTATTTCCAACTCAATCCAGAACCTAAGCAGATAACTTTAAATATTCCTATGGACTGCAATAGACATTAGTTGCCTTAAAAAAATAGAAGCTTGTGAAGGAAGATAGCTGTATAGTTAATGAGATGTTCTAAGAACCACTGAATGTATCTTGTGGAATTATGTTCATTTTGTACATGAACTGGACACTATTTAATATGTCCTGTTTTGTCACATAAAAAAATCCTTGGTCATTCTATTAAAATAATGTTCCTTTCTTTTCCATTTATTTCACTATTAGTATGCTCCAGGATTTCTTCTCTGAGAGAAAAATATGATTAAGTTCTGATTTCTAAGAAAGAGAATATTTATTTTCTTAAATTAATTTCTAAGAAAGAGAATATTTATTTTCTTAAATATGTAGAATATAAATGAAGGGAGTTGTCCAGAATTACCAGTATTTTCCTTTCTTCATAATAAGTCAATTCCTTTTAATGATTCTGTCAATTCACTGTTGCTAAGTCAATCCCAAATCCTATAAACTACACAGAGATAAGGCAGTACATTTCTGAAGAGTAAATAGTAAACTCCTGTACTAAATTAGTAAATGGTTTATCACAACTTATTAAGTATTCAAGGTATCCATTGATAATATGGACTAATGTTGTAGCCATGATGGTCTAAGAAATATGAGAGGCAAGGATTTTTTGGGATGGTATCTTTTATTGGACCAACAGCATGGTTGGTATAGACTTAGGCAAGCTTTTGAATGCAGTGCATTCTTCTTTCAGGTCTGAGAAAGAAGCACATATAAGCACAAAAAACAGTTTGCAAGGCTGTAAAATTGGAGAAGAGACACCTTCCCAGGGGTGGCCAACAAGACAACCACCGAAGAAAGGATTTGATTAGTTGGAAGATCAAGACCTTGATTAGTTAGAAGATACAGACCTTTCAAAAGGGAAGACAGTTGTTATCACCTCTGGTGTGAAGAAAGATTAGTAGGAGTCAGGTAAAGCTTAGTGTGCCATGAAGTCAGTATCAGTATTCAGTCCTTTGTTGTTACTATCTAGTCAGTTTAGGAATTTTGAAGGTTTTATGTAAATTTATTTGAGTAGGTAGATAGTGAGGTCAGAAAACAAGTGCTTGTTCTGTGAAGTGTTCATATACAAAAAACTGTAACAGTGACTTAAATATCTTAGTTTAGAAGTAATTTTGTTCCATGGCTATTTATCTATAATGTAATGTTAAGACAAGGTTCTTTGGATAAATGTGATATCTTAAGGACGTAGGCAGACACATCCTTAGACCAACACAGCTGCAACCAACAACCCTATAATGTTAAGATATCTTCTGCAAAATGTGACTAAGGTAGCACTGTTTTGTGGCATGTGTGAAAAAAGGTAACTCTTGCTTGGCACTTTCAGAACCCAGAGTCAAACTGATCACTTTCTAAAATGGTGTTAAAAGGGGCTTGGGTTTCTTTGTACTTGTACTTTGGTGCTGAATGCTATACTGTGTTCAACACCAAATAAGCTGT